GGAGGATGGGTGGGCAGGGAGGGATAAGGGGGGGATGAAGAAAGGGGGTATTAAGATTAGCATGCATGGGGGGGAGGGAGAAAGGGGAGGGAAGGCTGTACAACACAGAGAGGACAAGTAGTGATTCTACAACATTTTGCTATGCTGATGGACAGTGACTGTAATGTGGTTTTTAGGGGGGACCTGGTATAGGGGAGAGCATAGTAAACATAGTATTCTTTCATGAAAGTGTAGATTAAAGATTTAAAAAAAAAAAGTAATGTCAAATGAAAAGAAGTCAGACAAAAAAAGCATACGAACTGCATGATTCCATTCATAGATTTTAGAAAATGCAAACAAATCTATTATGACAGAAAGCAAATCAGTGGTTGTTTGGGGAGGGCCAGTCGTAGAAGTGTGGGAAGGAGGGATCACAGAAGGCTATGAGAAAAATTCTGAAGGTGATAGATATGTTCACTATCTTGATGTTGGTTAAAGTTCCATGGAGGTACACCTATGTCAAAAGTAATCAAAGTGTACCAGTTAAATATATATATAGTTTGTTATGTCAAGCATACAACAATAAGGCTGTTTTTTAAAAAATATTATAGTTCTTATAATTAGCTCAGAATCAATTCCCTTCAGTCATACAATATTTACCTAGTACCTACTACATGCTGGGCACTCTTTTAGGTTCTAGGGATACAATATTAATCCAACTGCATGGTCCCTGACCTCATGGAGTATATAGTCTGCAGAACTTAGTAAAAGATGCACACAGACACATAATACAAACTGTGACAAGTGTGATGATGGAGAGCACAGTGAGATGACAGAATGTAATAGAGAAACTAAATCTAGTCTGATGGAAAGGTCAATATGGCTCCCTCTAGGAAGTGTCATTTAAGCTGAGACTAGAGGAAGAGCAGGATAACAAGTTTAAGATGGACCTTTCCTCAGAAGGGACACTCTAACACAAGCAAAGGCTCTAAGGCAGGAGAAAGCATGACCCTTTGAAGGAATGGAAGCCAAAAGGGCTAAGGGCCAAAACAGCACAGACAACACTATTAATCCCCTCTCCAGCATCTGTTCAACAAGTCTTCCTCATCCCTAACAGAATCACCCTTTAGTTCACGCAGCTACCCTCTTCCACACCCAGTCACGTGCTTTAGAGAGAGATGACTCTATCCTTGATTTTAGGAAGTAAATACTGTTTAGACTTAATCATGACAACCTCTTTTCTCCCTGCCAGTGATTAGTTAAGGAACAGCATGAGTGAAGCAGGAAAAGATATTAATGCATCCTCTAAACAAGAAATGGTAGTTTGGACTAGGGAGATATCAAAGGAGATAAAAATTTACATGGAGCAACAAGGAATAGCAAAGTGTACAGGATGTCTCCTAGGTTTCTGGCTTAGGCAAATAATGGTTAATCCTTTCAATATAGTCAAAGCCAAAGAAATATTTTTAAATTAATCATCTTATCCTTAATATACTTCTCTTAAATAAATAAGACCTACTTAAGGATCATACTTAAAACATACCTGATCCTCATGCAGGACACTGGCCTCAGAAATTCAGGCAAACTTACGAAGAATGAATCAGGCTAATTAGAGTTTTGTCTTACAACAGAAATTAATATGCTTTATAAAATTCTAACATACTGCCTACAAATAACATTGATTTCTGAATATCATTCATTTTGCCTTACCTTCTTCAAAAAAGTAATTTAAGCTAGCAAAATATCTGAATAAATTAAAATCCAAGCCACAAGTAAAACAATCAAGGATTTCTGACCAGTGTGTTATCTAAAAATAATTCTAGAGAAATTGGGTGGAGATACATAATCAGTTATGCTAACTAAATTTTTATAAATTAGGTCCCATAAGAGCAATAATTAAGGCTCCCATTACAGATACCAACAAACCCAGGCAAAATATAAACTACCATGACAAGTTGACGAAGTGCCACTTCTTTCAGAAGGTGGTATACTTGGACTGTTGAAATGATGTGAAGTTCCTTGGTTCACGTCATCATTTGCAAAATTCTTTGAATGGCATGTACAACAACATGACAATGGTAATTCAGCTTTTTCACTTAAATTTTCATCGACTTGTTTCCCTAAAAATGAAAGAACCTCTATTTATAATATTTCTAATTAAAAAATCATTAATCTTCCTCTGCCGCTGAAGTGAGTAACCACCCCCGTTTGCCCAGCATTAGGGAGTTTCCCAGGATGATTTTCAGCCCTAAAATCAGGAAGCACCTGGAAGATCTGGGCAAGGTGGTTACACTACCTGCAACATCAAATTAGGACAGTAGAGAAACACTTATGCCAGAAACATTTACAGAGAAGTTACCATCAATTTACATAATATACAAAAATCTAGTAAGAGATTAATAACATAATAAAAGCACAACCACTCAAGTATTCATTTATATTGAGAGTTATTAAAGTATCAAGCAGGGAGGATTAAAGACCTAAAGTATATTCTTAGTGACTGCCATTTCCCTAAATGAAAAATTTGAAAGTTCAATATAGTAAATAATATCAGAAACACATTAGGGTTAAATCATTCCCACATTATACTTCTATTTCAAATAGAAACATGTTTCATGATATATCAATTCAGATACATGTGCCAAAACGCATTTTAAGGTCAATATTCAAAACTAAGTAAAATGGGTAATTTTTAATACTGAAATATAATACATAATTGTAATAGGTCTACATTGTGTGCCTATATGTATAAATATGCAATTTGCAGATACTAAAAATATGCTATAAATAGCACACTATTTTCTATAAATAGCACATTATTTTCCCATCTGTTTTATATAAATCTCTAATTCTACTTTCTAGAGTCTCCCATAAAAATTTTAAGTTATCAAAGATAATTTCATTTTTTTCAAAGACTAACAAAATGGACAGCCAAAAGTTATAAAATACTTACCGTTTATTTTTAATGGTCTAATTAGTAGCACAAACATTCCTTTTTAAAAAACAAACATATATACATGCATATACACATACATATGCACACACTCATGGCTAACTTTAAATTCTACTTCTATTTTCAGTGAAAACTATCTAGATAGTCTTTCATAAAAGTAAATGTTACTAGGCATTTGTTAGCAAATAAAGTAAAAGTAATGGGAAATAATATAGTTCATAAAACAATATACACAAAAGTTGATGAAAACAAAACTTCTGCTTATCTGGCATCCAAAAGGTAGAAAGATCAACTAGAATGTTTTCTTTATATAGTGCATATAGTTTTAATATTATAAGGAAGGGACAGATAAGCAAATATATTAAAGAATTTATTTAAAAAATTTTTTCTTCAAAAAAAGCAATTATTCAATTATATATATGTTATAAACATGCATCAGATGACAGCCCCATTTCTTGCATCTTTTATATACAAATTATCATAGTTATTCATAATGATAACCCTAAAATTCCAAGATTCTTAGGTATACTCTGAATCATCAAATAAAGGACTTCATTATGTTTAAAATTGTTTTAGGATTGACTGAATATATTTTGCTATATTGAAACTCCTTCCAAAGATAGAAATAACTTATTATAAACATCTTAAAAGAGAATAGTTTAAAGTAGCTAGAACATGGTTGAATCATTCTGGATAAAATGTGCTTTGTATTTTTTTCAGGTCCCAGTGAGCAACCTGAAGAATCAACTAATTACTTACCACTGAGAGACTGCTGCCATGCTAAAGTTGAACAAAGTAAAGCTAAGCTTTTCCCACTTCCTGTAGGGCTCTCCAACAAACAATGTTGCTTACTGTTTAATCCTCTCACAATCTACGGACACAAAAACAACAGAAAATCAATTTACTTCATAGGGTCTCTCCCTGAGGAGTACAAATACAACAATGAGAGGTAAGGTTGTACTTCAGGGAACATAGCAATAGCAGAAGGGGGAACTAGTACTTAATTAAATATAGACTTTATTCTGTTCCCTAAAATTATGTTGGACTTAAAAGTACATCAAGTACAAAAGAAATGAAAAGCAATTTGTGCCTGAATTATGCAAACACCATCTTCTATTAAACTAGACTACACAGTACCTTTGATGAAAACTTAATGAGGAATAATACTGCTAGTGGGATTGTAAATTTTTATACCACTTTGCACAGAAATTAACAATTTCCAGTAAAGTTGAAACCCAACTCCAGCAAATCCAGTCCTATGTATATACTGGCTTATAATTGAAAAAGAATGTGAATCTAAATGTCTATCAAAAGGAATGGGACAAAAAAAAAATCATTGTATAGTCACATAATGGAATACTATACAGCAATTAAGATGGATTAGCAACCAACAGGGCTGTCGTAAAAATGCTAAGAAAAAAAAAATCAAGCTCTGCAGAAAGGTAGGTAAAATATATCATTGTACAGAGTTTTAAAATATGTAAAGTAATATTCTACATTTTTTACAGATACACATTTATGCAAGTCTGTGTATAAAAACATGGCTAGGAAAGAAAAAGAACAAATTCAGGATTCTAGCAATCTTGTTACTCGTAAATAAGGTATAAAATAAATATGCCAAAATATTAAGATTTAACAAAGCTGGAAAATTAATTTACTCAAGTTTGTATATTAATTTTCCACATGACTGAAATATCTCCAAAAATTATGGTGAGAAATATAGTATTATGTAGAAGACAGTAAATACTCTGTAGAAGGAGGTAATTCTGTAAATAAAGTTTTAAATGTATTGGCAACATTTCTCAGATTGTTCTTTGTTGCCTTCCAACCACGGACATACAGTTTAGCAGTGATCAGTATTACTTTTTCAAGTTAGTTTGTTCTTCAATGAACCCAGCAAATTTTTTCAATCCATGTACTCTTAGAAGATGAATGCAGTCACAGATTCAATGCATGTTATGTATTATAAGCATCTGCATCTTAATAAACATTTAAAATAACTGTTGAAAAATACTTACAGAATTCATCATAGCAAGCTGTGATGGATAAGCTTTACAAGGAAAATTGATCTTCACCCCACCAATTGTATATTCAGACCACACTGAAGACATCATGCCTTCTTGTTTACTTCAGATTCTTAACTGCAACAGTAATGAAATTCAACACTGAAACAATGCTTTCAAAGAAAACCAGATACCCAACACTGTCATCACCTGAAGAATTATTTGCAACAGTTGGGGGAAAAAATGGTAAATTCAATCAGAGGATGGAGAGATGGTTAAAATAGCACTCCAATGGATTATGAAGCCAATAATAACTTAACCTTAGCTACCAATATAAGAACCACTATTCTAAGGTATTTTCCAGTTCCAATATTTTGTGATTCTGTGAAACTCTGAGAATGAGATTTGGCATAATCTAATTCTTTCATCTAAACGAACAACTCAATGCTGGCCTAGTTACTCGAATAGAACCTGGAAAGCAATCCGTCCCTTGCCATAGTTGTTTGAACACGCACCTCAAAATGGGGTGGCTTCCCCTCAAACAGTGCATGAAGGACAAAAAAACCGAACTGCCTCCCGCCTTCGCGCCGGGTCGCCAACAGTTAAGGCGGGGCCGCGGGCTGCTAACAGGCCTCTGCTCCCAGGTGAGGGCAGGCTCCCTTCTCCCCGGGTTTTCTTCCCCACACGCCTCCTCCCGCAGCCAGCGATCCCCGCCCTGTGATCCAGGGGGGTGGGCGAAGGAAGGCACCCTCCTCGCAGGCTTCGCGCCCTCGCCGCAGGACAAGGCTTGCAGTCCGGAGGAAAACTGAAGCAACGCTGACAGCGCTCCGGGTCACTGGAGAAAAGGAACCTGGTGCAAATATGGCGGAGCCCTGGCAAAGAAGAAAGGTCACGAGCCCCTCGCTCTTCCTCCCGGGAACCTGTTCCCTGGGCCGGCTGGCCGGCTCGGGCCGCGGAATCTGCTGTCTTCCCAGCTCCCACCAGGTCTCCTCCCCAGCGCTCTCCCGGACGAATTCCCGCCTCCCACCCCCCGACTCCTGGTGCCCAATCGCCGGGCGCGCTCAGCCAACCAATCACCCGCCAGAGCAGAACTCCAGCGACCAATCCCGAAGCGAGGTTAGGGGGAGCCTCAGCAATGAGAACAGACCCAAGATAATTGGCGGCACCGGAAGGCGAGAGCCCGGAGGAGGACTCGGGCAAATCCCAGAGCCTTAAAGTCTTCTCCGTTAGACTGAAACTGGTGATTTAACCCGTGCATCAAGTTTATTTGGGAACGCGAAGTCTCATTCTTAAGCTCTGTAGACCAACGGAGAGGAGACACCTGTCAGCCTTGCCGAGTTCTTATCTGAGCAATCAGTGCCATTCAATTCAAATTGCTGAACTTTACAACAGCCAAAGGCATCGAAAAAGCAGAAGGGGTAATTGCGACTTTTGAGCCAAATTAGGCGAAAAGGTTCGAAGACAAATGGCTATAGGATCCCATAACAATCAAGGCTTTCCGAGACCAAATTCAACCAGAGAAACGTTCTCGAGTTCTCCAGCTCCAAATCACTCCATTGAAGATTGTCAGCCTTCTAGCCCTCCTAAGACCCGTTTTCTTTGCCAGGAAAGTACACTTCAATATTCTCAAATAAAGTTAATCATGATCTCGCGAAATTCTTATTAAAAAAAAAAATCCTGTATAGCCTAAACGTGGTTCGATTATCATTGTCCCAAAAAAACAAACCTGAGGAAATTTCTCAAATTCGAGAAACTAGTTTGGGAAAAGGTTTACTGCACGGGGGTGCAGCAGGAGGCGAGTTGTTCCTTCCGTTTGCCTTTCAGTTTTACAACGCCCCAAAATGACAAAACTTAGTCATAGAAATAAATTCTACATTTTAATTTAGTAATCTCAGGCTTAGAAATTTATCCTAAGTCATTTAAAAGAAAAAGTAAATAATACCTCGTTTGATAACAGTGCCTACTATAATACTGAAAAAAATCATAAAGTTCCCAATCTAGTAATGAGATGGTTATGTATACAATTCAATCGTTACGAAGCCAATAATTATAAAAACTAAACAAGTTGCAAAAAAAATTCCACATTAAGTTCAATGAAAAAAAGGACACTCCAAACGAGGTATTATGAATTCTGTTATGTGAAAATACCTATGCATAAACAAAACTGAAGAGAAAGTATAAAAAAGTACATGGGTAATTTACTGTTAAGAGTGAAGTATAATTTATAAAAATAAATCCTTTGATATACCTTTAAATTGTTATTCTGCTTTTACATGTCTTATGTATCAAATCTTTTAACTGATCCTATGATTTTCCTCTCCTATAAGGCTCTCAACTGACTCAAACGTTGTATTGTCATTTGATGTATATGGCATAACAGAAATACACATAGGCTCTGAAACCAGACAGTTCTGGATTCCAGTCCTTTGAAATGTTCTGTTCCTTTCAGGTTAACATTAGTGAAATGAGACACAAAAAATCTGAAGTCCATTTGATAAAGATATGTATGTTTGTAAACCAATATTTAAAATAGCTGCACACATTTTCACTTTAATAAAAAAAATCACATTATGACAAATTTTATAACCTTAACTTAAAATACATGAATATTAACATTTACTAATTTATTTATACATTTTATTTACATCATCAACAAATTTGATGAGAAATAGCCTATGTTTTTATTTTAAAACAGCAGGTTTTGCACAGGTTTTGAAAATTGATCCAGGAAATGTGCACTGCATTTAGTGAGAAAACGTATTTCAACCTTTTCTGAACTCCTAGATATGATCTACTCATACAGAATATTCCTACGCCTCAGTTAAAAAAAAAATTAAAACAGCAGTTGTATTTAATCTTAAAAGACTGCAAAACTGCCGTGTTTAAAAATATGAAAATTCTTAAGGTATTTCTTTAAAGTTATGCTCTTATTCTTCACATCAAAATTACTTAATTGAACATTAAGCATCTAATAAAGTTATAAATATTCTATCTGTGATTCTGTGTACTTCATGACTTAAAACAACTACACAGATTGGTTCTTATATAATACCCTTAATGAGGTAGGGCCAATAGTAATCCCATTTTACAAAGGAAGAAAATGAGATATGCCTATATGCTAGTGAAAAGGCTGAAGTTAAGTTTATTTTTTTAAAAGTTACACTTCGTTACTAGCCTGCCCAATTTCTTTTACAAACAAAGAGGTCTGTTTTGAGTGTGTGAGGGGAAGAGTGGAGGGACAGTGTCATTCAGGTGTATCTCAGAAAGCAGAGAAGTACCTTCTATATTGAATACTTAATTAAGGGGAAAAAAAGAGGATTATGGGTTACCTGAATGCATCTACTTAATCAATGAAAGTTACTAACAGAGGACTGAAAGATCCTTTAGCAACATGGGATTTTATGCTTTTTAATTTTTCCTGAGGTCCAAATACTATATATATTTTCTTACTCAAAGATCTTACAAAATTATGATATATGAATCATAATCCTGACAAACCAAGAGCTCTTTAATCCAGTTAGTTTTATTGCTCTAAACTTCAGTAAGATACCAATGTATTTCCCCCCTGACCATTAGATAAGTTAGTAAAGCATTATAAAAATAAATTTAAAAAAAACTAAGACCTCCTTTCGGTCCTTCTCTGCACAAAGATATTTCTGTAAACACTTTTAAACCAGTATGTTAAAATTCCAAATTATTCAAGTATCTCTTTAAACATACGGCTTCATACATTAGTAAAAATTGAAGCAAATATGTAAAATCTTAAAATTCTCATCTGAAATTCCATGAAAATCATTTACAAACAGCTATCTGCCTTTTTAAAAGCCTTCTCTATACTGTTTCTTGAGAACTGGAATTCCATCTTGCATTACTATTACTTGCATAGCAAGCTTTAGAGATTTCTATTTGGGTATTTAAACTCGTGATTTTTCCTGATTTCTCCCTTTCCCTTTTTCTCCCTCTCATCATTGTCATATTGTTACTGGCTGAAAGTTTAAATCAACAGTAGGGTTTCCCACAGACTCATTTTTATAAGAAATTAAACTGAAGGCATGACAGTTTCTCTTCACTTCAAAAACTAAATACAAGGCCAAATTCACTTTCCAGGAATGAGTGTCTTAAATGTGCTCCCAAGAGGGGGGAAAAAAAGCTTGGCTGCTACAATATAAACATACCAGCAAAGTGATCCGAAGGACTGCCAATCAAATACAAGCAAGCATAATTCTCAAAAGAGTTCTAAATTGTATTCATGTTGAATTAAATCATCTTAGAGATTCCAAGACATTACTGTTCCCATTCAGTTTAGAGTTGTTATAAGATGCAGATTCGTGTTCGGTATATGCAGCAAACAGCTTTGTTATTTTAAGTCTTTTTCTTTTAAATTCCACTAACACTCATGTTTATTATTTCAATTATTGTGCTTTCAATACAATGACAGAGCTGTACATCAGGATCCATGCTTCCAATATCTCTGGATCCATTTTTATAAGATGGATCTTTACAGATCCCAGACCATCCACTTGGTTTCTCCTTTATTTGTTGAAGACCTAAAAAGGTAAGGGCAAAAAATAAGTTAAAGCACAAAATCTGGAAAGGCTTTTGGCCGTTTTGCCTGAAATATTAAAACAACTCTTGAAAATAAGTTACTACTTACGTGTAATAATTGGATCAATGTCTCTTGTCTGAGTGGCAACATCAGAGGCACAGACTTGCCCTATTTGGATCAGCAAAGACATAATATCCTCATACAGTGGAGGAAATGCTCGGCAAAAAGAGACCAAACTTGGCAAAGTTGGCATGAAAAAAGCGTATCGCTTAGCTTGTGTTAAAACTGTTAGAAAGAAATGAAACAGAATCTTTAACTTACAGATACAAATTCAACATACATGGTCTTACACAGTGTGCTAATAAGCACCATGCCCTAGACTGTGGATACTAAGTTCACTAAGACTCGGCTGAATCCCATACTTCACAATCTCATAGTCAGCCAGTACTCAAACATATAAATTCTTATTCCCAAGCACTGTGATAAGTGATTTACAAGCATTATTTCCTTAAAATTCTCACAATCTTATGAATTAGCAAAGTACTCTTACTCTTATGATACCAACTTAATATATGAGAAAACTCTTAAATAAACCTTAGATTAAGAAAATGTTCAAGGCCATACAGCTTGTTAGTGGTGGAACTGGGACTGAACTCAGGCAGGTTAAGCTCAACCACTACAAATAATTATAACATGAAGTGAATACAGTGGAAAGAAAAATGAATCGAGTATTATGGCCACACTGAGAAAGAATATGAGATTAAGCCATAACTTTGAAAGACTGAACTGTAGAACAAATCTCTCATATCATTTTAATTGACAAATCAGTAATCAGTAGGTGGTTAAAATATTAGGGTATGTTTTAGAACTTAAGGAAAAACCACTGATAAATTTATTTCTTATTCAAATGAATATATTTTTTCTGCAACTCTAACCATTTATAGTAAATTGTAACTTGTTTTCTATGATATAATTGCATTCAGAAAGTAGATTTGATTTCCATTTATAAAATGGGAAAAATTTATTTTATTTACTATAAATCTATATATAGTCATTCACAAAAAAGATATAATTTGCCTACCTATTCATCCTCTCCCCTCTATACATCACATTTTTAATAGGAAAATTTCCAAAAGAATAATAATTCAAAAGATGGCATAAACTATTAGTGACACAGAAAACACTATTTTGCTAAATTCAGAAAAGAGATGTACTATTTTATGTTGTAAGTTTTTGTGATTGCTATAGGTTGACTACATACCTGTTAGCAAAGTTCCCATGACATTGACAGCTAAGCGAGCCACACTGAGTGACTTCGGTAATGAATACTGGATACACAAATGAGAAAGCAACTGGATTGCAAATATCTACAATACAAAATCCAAATATTACATGTCCCTGAAAAACATCTTAGAGTATTAAAAATTGTAAAATGTTTTATATAAGTAGGAAGACTGGAGGGAAATACAAATTTTCCTAAAGCTCCAAAATGCTCATTACCTGTTTTTCAAGTTCTGGCTGTGCAATAAGCTCAGGTATGAAATCCAGACAAATGTGCATAGAGGGAATGCCTGCAACCGTTAGAGGTAAAAGTTCACATGGATAACCCTATCTCAAGAAGAAAGAGGGGAAAAGTAAAAAATAAAATACTAGTTAAACACAGATAAAACATATAAAGGGAAAGTTTTACTTCCTATTTAGGTAAAAGTGTGTGGGAATGTTAGAGTGCCCTACGTGTACCCTGGCATTTCACCTTTCTGATGTACTAGCATAGACATAAATTATCAGAACACTTCATTAGACTGAAAGGAAATCTAAAAAATCTGGATTTTTCCCCATATTGCAAAGGACTATGATCATTTGTGTGATCTCCAGTTTCTAAATGATTCCTATTAATTTAATATTCAAGGCTCCCCCCAAAATAAAATTCAATCATAAAGCATGGCTCTTTGAAAACAGACCTGAAAGTGAACAAGCTTAGCAATGTTGGGATCTGCAATGTACATTTGGTGCAACAGACAACAGATAAGGCACTGAACTTCTCGAAGATTACAGAGCAAACTGTCTTCCCCTTCCTCCATTCCCTTATTTGGAGCACTAGTTGTGATAACACTTTGAACGTTCCTTAGCAAGCTGTCTGGATTGACACCCTTGGATTTCTCCTCTTCAGTAGGTAAGCAAATCTCCAAGAGAATCTGGACAGCTGCACTATCCTACAAGCAAATAAAAAAGAGTGAATTTAAGAAGTTTCTCAGAAGTTTGAAAAACAAATCTGATTTTGTTTTTCCATGAACAGAAATGGTAAAATAAAATGGTTAAAAACAAAACAAAACAAAAAAAGGGGGTACTTTAAAGAGCAATGAATAAACAATCTATAGAGCAGTGGTTCTCATGTTTTTTAGGGTCATGAATCCTTTCAAGAATCTGAAGAAAATTATATACCTTCTCCCTATAAAAATTAACATATGTAAACACACATATTGCATAATTCCAGCATGGTCACATATTTCTAAGGCAGATCCATGGACTCTATAGTTTAAGGACATCTACAAGACTATCCTGATTCAGTGACATACAAAGCACGCCCTAGGCAAAATATGAGTTCTACCAGAATCTCCTTTCCTTCCTCTTAAATTCCTACTTCTCCCAGGATCCTACCCTCCATTGCCCTCTTTTCATACATGGCCACCAATTAATTCATTTCTCTGAAGATGGTGATTAATAATGCCTAAAAGTCACTCCCCAAAGCTTCTTCCTCCTTTAATTTGAAGATGGGCTCTTTAAGGCCCTGGTTTTGCAAGCAAAGAGCCTGCCTTACCACCCATTCCACCTGCACAAACACTGGTGCTCAGTCTACAAGCTTGGGTGTCATTTCATAAAACAGTGGTTTCTTGAGGGGTCATCTACTTGATGCCCCTCCATCTAAAGGACTGCTATAATTATTCTCATCCAACAGGAAGGAGTTTAAAAAAAAAAGACTGTATGACATGCATCTCAAAAAAGACTGTAAGACAGCCATTGATTAGACAGAAGAAAACAATTACTTCATCTGTTTAAGAACTTCATTCTAAAGTAAGGCTAGCCTTTTGTTTTGTTTTTACTTGTAGACTCTAGAGCCAGACTGCCCAGGCTTGGGTAGTAGCTCTGCCACTTAGTAAATGTGCAACCTTGAGCAAGTCACTTAACTTTTCTGGGTCTTGTTTTCCTAAAACTCCATACCTCAAAGGTAAGTTGTACAGATTACGTGAGTTAATATGTAAAGAATTTAGAGTACCACCCAGCATGTAATAAACATTATGTAAGTGTTAGCTATTATGATCCTCAATTCTGTGTCTGAAAATGCTGAGGGCCAGATTTAGTTTAGAACTTGGAATTCTTTTTAATGTAATATTACATAATATGTCCAGCAGAAACTAGTCTAGCACATTGTAATCAAACGTATCAGTATTTCTGCAGCAAAACATATCAATACTCATCTTAAGTGGGATAAAGGCCATAAATAGCTTTATATCAATTCAGGTCACGTTTTGTTACACGTGAGGTCACCTCAGGTCAGGTTTTTCTGCCAACTATATTATAAAAAAATTCATAGCTTTTTGGATTTCTGTATTACAGATAAGGGATTATAGACCTATATTATTACTCTAATGCCCCTTATTGCCAATGAAAGGAGTTCAGAAAATATATTTCAAACTAAGAAGACATTTCTACTTTGAAGAAATTGTACAGTTTTGACTCGCCCGTTTTTACTAAATATAACTTTACTACCTGAGCAGCCAGTAATAAATTTTTCAGTTCTTCTCTGGTACCTTCTGGGCCCCTTTAAAGAAAATCCTCAATTGCTTAATGTTTAGCCATCATGCATCTCCTTCTTTATTCAAAATTGACTACTTCAGGCTTCACTAGAATTCTACAGTATTAAAGAAGTTTTCTAAATATAAAATTGAACTGCTTATACCATCATAGTATTTATTACTGCACCATCTTATTACAGGCATACCTCATTTTATTGTGCTTCACTTTATTGCATGTCATGGATATGGTGTTTTTTTAAGTGGAAGGTTTGTGGCAATAATACATTGAGCAAGTCTATTTGTGCTATTTTCCCAACAGCAGTTGCTCACTTTGTGTCTCTGTGTCACATTTTAGTAGTAACTGCAAAAATGTTTCAAACTTTTTAATTTTTATTTTATTTGGTATTGTGATATGTGATCACTGATTATGATTTGCTGAAAGCCCAGACAATAGTTAGCATTTTTAGCATTAGGTATATTTTAATTAAGGCATGTACATTGTTTTCTAGATGTAATGCAATTGCACACTTAACAGACTAGTGTACAGTATAAACAAAAACTTTTATAGGCACTGAGAAATCAAAAACATCATGTGACTTGCTCTATTGTGATATCTGCTTTATAGCAGTGGTCTGGAAGTAAACCTCGCAATGTCAACAAGGTATGCCTATCTACATATACACATATGTGTGTGTGCATGTGTGTGTGTGTGTACTGCTTGTTGTGTTAGTCTCCACCATTTGATTTTAAGGAACAAAAGTCTTTTTGTTAAAATATACAACTTATTTAAATGGCTATTAAATTACTATCATGGGGGTTGATTAATGATTGTGCATTAAGTCCCCTATACAGAATTTTATTGTTGTTAACAACCATTTGATCAATAAATATTAGAGATGCCCTCTCAAAAAAATAAAAAATAAAAAATAAATTTAAAAAATTACTATCATGAAGATTATTCCTGGTTTTAGTAATATAGTCCATCTCATATTCAGAAGCAAAGGTAACAGCATTGTAATACATTCTGTAATAAAAGGAATGCAAATATGTCACCATTGTACATAGAGGGCATAATATGCCATCCATTTAACTGGCTATATTAAGAAAGGAAGCCCTCGCCCTTTGTGACTGAATTTTACTTTACTACCTGAGCAGCCAGTAATGCATTTTTCAATTCTTCTCTGGTAACTTCTGGGCCATCATTTTGTCCAATTAAACCTATTGTATTATTCTGGGAAGGCCTATCTTGCTCTGCTGTTTCCTTCAGATGAGCACTAAGATAGGCTTTGGATGCAAGAAGATATCCATTCAACATGTGTAGAGTAATGTCCATCAGTGGAGGGCACCTAACACAGAAAGAAGAAAAGAAAAATTCATGACAAAGAATATAAATTTATAAATTTGCCAGAACATGATCTATCAATCCTGAACAGTACTGAAGAACCTGAAAAGAGCAGTAACACTTTTCCCACTGAAACAGTCATTCTGAAAATACAAGTTTAATATATATGTCTTATCTTCCATATTTCAAAATTACATATAATATTGTCTATTTCATCTCAGCTAAAATCAAATATAATGTGTGCCCTAAACAGAAGACACTCCTTTCTGCAAATAATGACAATACAAATAAATCTCTTAGATATGAACCTGTAAAGCAGCTGTCCTCAGAGAGAAATATTCTATTACTGATAAGATGAAGGAGACTAGAACAGAATATTTATTCTTTCTACTCCCATTTCTTCTCTGGAGCAAGACATCAAGACAGCTCTGTATTCCAAGAATGCTTCATCACTTGACCTGGTAAGTTATTTACTGAGACTCAATTTCCTTATCTACAAGATGTATATAGTTATTCATTCCTCAAAGATTGTTATAGATCAAATTTAAATGAGATAAGAATATAAGAAATGCATATAGAAAAGGAAGCAAAAAAGATAAATTAGTAACCACTAAAAATTTAAAAGCCAATCCCTTAGAAAAATCTAACAAGGCCTCTTCTCAGCCTACCAGAAAGAACTAGCACAATAAATAGGCAATACAGCTTTGTTTATAACTGTGAAACTCTGGAAACAGCTTAAATGTCCACCAATATGCCAATGATTTTTCTAAAATGTCCCAATTTTCTGTAATAAGCATGTACATCTTTATAGTGGCAAAAAATATGTTGGTGATTAAATAAACTATGGCAATGCTTCCTAAAACTGAAGATAAAAATCACCTGGAGTGCATATTTAAAAAAAGAAAAATCCCAAGCTCCATTCTAGACATTCTGAATCAGAGTTTCAGGAGGACAGGCCTGGTAATCTAGATATGGAATACCGTGCAGCAAACATTTCCATGCATACTAACATGGAAAACATGTTGAGAACAGTAAGTTTAAAAAAAGAGAACAAAATAACGTTTACAATGTAATACTACTTTTGTTATTTAAAACCACCAAAGCAAAAAAGTAAATATTTCTACTTATAAATTTTTAATGCATAGAAAGTAAAGCTACATACACACCACAGGACAACAAAGTTTCCTCTGAAGATGGAACTGAGATTGGTTGGAAGAGTCCAAAGAGGAATTTTGCTTTAGCAATGGCAGCATGGTAGGAATGAGAGAGAGTAAGACTTTTCCCTGTATACCTTTTTCTTGTTAATCTTTTATTTATTCATTTAATTAGGTATACTGTGAAAACTTTCATACACACATAAACGGAGAATATTATAATGAACCTCCAAGAGCTTATCACCCAGCTTCAACAATTACCTACACATGGCCAGTCTTATTTCATCTATATCCCCATCCACTTCTGCACCACCCCCATTGGGTTAGTTCAAAGCAAATCCTAAACATCATTACTTTATATATATGTATATCTTTTTTATATTGTTTGATATTTTTAAAAATCCTGTGAACGATCACTTAATTAAAAAAATTGAACTTAACAAATGAACAAAATTAATGGGCAAAACAATAGAATAATAATGAGAAAACTACAATAACACATACAAAGCTGAAATCCTTCTTATGTAAAGAACTCTCAATCAAAAAAGATAAGCATTCCAATACAAAATTAGGCTAAAATATAAAGAAGAAATACCAGTAGCTAATAAGTATATTAAAATATTCAATCTAATGAAGTTAAAATGAGAATCCATTTTCACCTATCAAAAAGGAAAGTATACAACATTGAACACTAACTACTATGGGAATGTATACTGGTACAGCCTTTCTGGATGACAGAATAAAATATGAATCAAAAATCTTAAAAATGAGGATGCTACTTTTTATAGCATCTATTTAGCATACCAGTCATCTGCATATGATCATATTATTTAACTTTTCATGTATTTGTCTTATTCCCTGTGCAGGTGATAATCACCTTAAAGGCAGGCCCTTTAACTTACGTATCTTTGATATTACTTAGCACAGCAACTAAAACTTCAAATATTGATGATGTAAATTATTAATTCTGCCTTTTGAAGTCACTTCAAAGTAAGTAAGTTCAGCAACTGTCAAGGAATTATAGACAAATGTGGAATCAATGAAACTAATGTCACAACTGAGAATGCCAAAAAGATCACAGTTTTAATGCATGTAATGATACATAACAGACCAATTTTTTTAAATCCTTTTTCAACAATGCTAGTAGAAATAATATTACTCTTTATTGCTTGTGTCTGAGAGAATGACCATTATGGAGGGGTGTCAAAACTAAGGACATTTATTTAAGGCTGGGTTTTATTAGTCATGTATTAAATATTAAACTGAATATACAGTTCATGAATACAGACAACTAGAAAAACCTCACAGGTCATACTGCTAGTTATCTGCAAGAATACTAAGATATAAATTTCAATTGAATTTCTTTGGACTCTCCAAAGTATAACTCTGTAATAAAAATGAAACTCAAATCACACGTACCTGTGTACCCTCTGATCACATCTTAGGACAATAAGAGGATCTATCATCAGGTCATTCTGAGTATACTTTTGTTGTCGTACAAACTTTATTGAAGGTTGAAGTGCATTTACTGTCATTACCCACAGCCTGATGAGAAAATAATCACATGTTCAAAAAACAGCTATATGTTAATTATATATGCATATGAGATATAAATATATATATATGAAACTTTGAGCCATCCAGTCCTATCTTAGATATATTCAGGAAAAAATGGGAAAACTAAAAACTATAGGTAGCTAACCTATTATTCTGTCTCTAAAAATGAAGATGAAACAGTAAACACAGAGCAGTTTAAAAATCTTCACAGTTGAAATGAAATAACCATGGCATATAAAATAAAATTTGAATTAAAAACTGTTATACCATACTTGCTGCATGAGTCTATGTAAGTCATTGAGCCTCTCTGAACTCTCTTTTTCTGTAAAAATAGGAATACCTGTAAATGAAATAATGCTTACCAAAGCACTTTGAAACTGTATATGGCCCCATAAATTAAGTCTTTATTCTATATTTATCAGTGAGATGCCACTCTGAGATCAGACATCAATATACTATAAAAGTGATTACTAACCTGGCACTGCACATCAGAATTACTGAGGGATGTGCCAATATGGAGGGTACTTGATCTCTTACAGTGAAGTCCTGGAGTCCACCAACCTCACCTCACACACAGAGCTTGCCCATTCTTAAATACGTGTGGACAGCCAAGAGTCATTGGACATTTAAAGAAAGCTTCCACTTTGAAAAAGATTAAAATATACAAACAGAAAAAAAAAGAACTCCAAAGAAACAGAGAATGTAGGGATGAGAAGAAAAAAAATTTTAAACCTACAATTAATATCCTTACAGGACAGAATATTTCATATATGAAACACGGAGGCATTTAAAGATATTCAGATAAGAAAGAGCTCTTAGAGATTACTAATGTAACAGAAATTTTTTAAATTCTAAGGAAAGACCAGAAGATAAAACTGAGGAAATATCCAGAAAGTATAGGCAAAAGATAAATATAAAAATAGAGGAGAAAATCAGAATAAGTCCAAGAGAGTAAAATCCAAATTACAAAAAAAGAAATTATAGAAAATGAGGAAAGTAATTATTAAAGAAAACAAACAAACAAAAATCTTAGAAATGAAGGCATTAGTCCCAGACTAAAAAAAGGCCAAGTGCCAGCACTATGAATATAAAAAGATCAACATCAAAATATATCATGATGAAATTCCAGAAAACAGTGAAAGATAAAAACCTAATACCTTTAAGAGAGAAAAAACAATGGTCACATACAAAGGATTGGAAATTGGTATAACATCCGATTACTCAACGGCAATAAGGGAACCTCAATTTGTTTAGTAGAATGAAGCCTTCGAATTTCTAAAAGGAAAAATGAGCTGGAATTCTACACCTAGGCTAAATATCAATCACATGTGAAGGGAAAATACAAATCTTTTCACACATGCAAGTCTAAAAAGAAAATAAGTTTCCCAAACACCCTTTTTCTCGGGAAGCAACTTGAGTGTGAGTTCCACTCACTAAATGAGGAACTAAACCAAGAAAGAGAAAAACATGAACTGTAACAAAGAAGAGAGACAAAAGCAATTCCAAGACGGCCACTGTCCATGTCCCAGATGGAAACGTAAGGATGGAAAGTTTTGAAAGGAATGTTGCCAAGGAAAATAATGTGAATGATAGCATTCCCGAAGTGTTATAGCTGACTGTAAATTCCCCCCTCAATAATGGAGTTTGGGGATGAATTCATTATCGATACAAAAAAAAAAAATTTGAGCAAATGGAAAAGAGGTAACTCAGAAAAGGAAAAGTATTAACTCAGGGATTGTGGGTGGGGTGTGGAGGAAGGCAGCTGTATAAGAAAGAAATTGTAATCAGAGGACATTGCATAGGTCTACTATAAATAACACTTATGTAGTCATAATAATATGCACACTGAGTATTACTTTAACCAAAATCTTTGCTATAACTGTGTTGAGAGAAATGGAAGGGAAATTACGTGTTGGGAGAAGAGGGACTCACAGGGGAGGAAGCAGGTAAGAGTGTCAAATCTTCATCTTGTATAGTAGGAAGTCAAAAGATAATTTCTAAATTGAAAAGTCAGGAAATCATAGTAATTAGAAGCATATTATTGAAATATATGGGGGGACAGAAATGCCATAATGAAAAACAGAGCTGAAAATAGTTGTCTCTGGGGAGCAATAGTCTAAAATGGAAATGCATGGGCAGACCTTTTACATATGTCATTTAACTACTTAAGTTATCTGTTTTTATTAATTTGATATAACTAAAAATAAAATTTTTAAGTATAAATATTTCCAGACCTATTGTATCAAAATCTCAGGTAAATCTAGCTCACATTGTTTTTCAGAGCTGACAAGCGGTTTTTGATACAATCTATGGACCAGCAGAAACCTATCTGACTAAAAGCAAAATAACAATTTGGCTGCACACTAGGATCTCTCGGGGAATCCTTAAAACAAGAAAAAAAACTAATGCCTGACTCCTATCCACAGGCATTCTGATTTAATTGCCAGGGTTACAACTTGGAAATCAAAAGTATTAAAAGCTCTCCAGGTGATTTTAATGTGTGAAATTTGGAACCAATGCAATGCACAACACAATGGTGACCTAAAGGACAATTAGCCACAATGACTATACATAAGAACTCACTGTTACAGAACTTGGTCAAGTTGGAAATATTCCAAGGTTTCTCTCTGTTCCTTAAGATAAAATTTATGTTTACAGCATCTTACTATGTTGAAGGACAGTGACTGTGAACTTGGTGACAAGTAGTGATTTTACAGCATCTTATTATGTTGATGGACAGTGACTGTAAACGGGGATGTGGGGGGGACTTCGTGAAGGGGGAAGCCTAGTAAACATAATGTCCATGTAATTGTAGATTAATGATACCAAAATAAAAAATAAATAAATAAGATAAAATTTATGATTTTCCTTAAAGTTATAACAACTCTTCAATTAACAGATTTATATTATCAGAAATGATTGATATCATCAAATACACAGTTTTTTACAACATTAAGTTGTTTTGTATATAATCACTGCTATACATTTATCTGTTACATATAACAATACACTGAAATTACCTTCTAGGCATCACAGTATTAAGAACCATCCACAGTTTATTTACTGTTTGAAGAATTCGCCGTGGAACCCCTGTATTCAACAACTGGTTCATATTGGATGTTAATACTTCTGCATATGGTATAAGTTCACTGGCAGAGAGTAGAGTCAAGTGTTCTAGAATCTGCATCACTTGTGTGTGACTTACTGGGACAGCTGAAAATGCTAAATAAGAAAAACTTAGCAGTTATAATCTAAATTCTATACAGCTTACCAAACAGGAAACATTGCTCTATCAGACTATATGCCAAACAAATCAAGAAAACAATGCTGCCTTAAAAAAGTAAAATTTTCAATCCTAGCCATAGTTTTGGCTATATCTAAAATAAGGGTCCTATGAAAAATTCACATTAAGTGTAGTTACTTCATAAAGAACAAAAATACCTCATCTTAAAAATCACATTAATGACCTAAAGGTAAATGTTATTTCCTTGGTGATTCAGACTGATTTTTAAAATTGACTGAAACATGAAAATATACCCCAGGTATTGTTTTTGGCAGTAGCATTCAATTGGAAGATTCAAACTTCTTGATACCTTTCCCTTTTATATCTTTATAGGTTGTAAGCACCCAGCAGATTGCTGTTAGTAAAAGTATCTACAACTACCTCTTCAATAGAATGGTCACTAACTACATCTGACCATTGAGCATTTGAATGTAGCTAGTACAAATGAAATGAGCTTGTAAGGATAAAATACCTAGCAGTCTGCAAACACTTAGTATGGAAGAACATTAAAATATCTTATCAGTAGTTTTTTTTAAATGTTGATTACATGATAAAATGATAACAGATATATTGGGTTAAATAAAGTAATTATTACAAGTAACTTTGTTTGTGTTTTTACTTTTTTAATGTGGATATAGAGTGTCTGAAATTGTATGTGTAGCTCCCATATTTCTATCTGACTGCGCTGGTCTAGAATATTATCTGTTAACAGCAAGTACACTGCTCTATTCCATGGCACTTATTTCTGACCAATTTAGAGCCTTCCTAAAACCACATGACCTGTCCAGTGACACAACGTTGGACCTATGAGGAAACAGATACAAGCATGTCAGAAAGAAATGGTTAAAACTCCTTAACTCAGAGAGAATTGCTTAAATTGACCAAAACATTGTTATATCTCCAGAAAAATTTTGCATGATTTTAAGAGTCCAATGAACCTAAAATCTCTTTGTACTACTAAAGGGCTAAAAGGATCAATCTACTGTACCTTCTTGGAGTTGTTTAGGGGAGTGGTTTTTGGCATTATTAGTCAGGAGCATTCTCCTTAACAGGGCATCAGTCCCTGTGATTTCTTCTTCACAGATCCAATCATCCACAATGCATAAATGTGGGTAGTTAGTTGCAAGAAGACGTAGTAAAGCAGAATGCAATCCTTGAAAATTAACAAGAAGTCAACTGGATTCCTTATTGCTAAACAACAAAATCTTCTCTCTCCTCTCTTCCCTTTCCCTTTAATTTTCAGCAAGCCAAAGGAACCTGCGCTTCTTGTGCATGCATACTACAGCCTGAGAATATCTGTTCTGTAGTTCAGCCAGGCAATATGCTTACATAATAGATCCCCAAGTGATCTGGTAACTCCAGCTTTCTCCCACCATATCCCAACATAAAAGTATCCCATCAGGACAAGTTGTATGACATAAAAGTAGTTCAAGAGTTGAGAGGGGAGGAAAGAAGAAAGAGGGGAAAAGAATGTCCATTTGGAGGAGATTATACACTGTTCTGAAAAAGCCCTCACTCAGAAATTCTGGGAAGCTTCCATAGGAGTACATGTCCTCTCATCCAACACAGTTGAGAATCATTGCTATAAATGGGTAAAACTAAAGTTGCCCACTTTGAGTACCTAAAAGATCTCAGACACTTTATGTACATTGTCATTTCGCCCTAACATTCCTACAAGGTAAGCAGTATTGTCTCCATTCTACTGTAAGGAAATATGCTGCATGACATTCACTAACATTCCCAAGTCACACAGCTAAGGATGTCAGCCAACTGAAGCCGTACTAATGACAACCACAAAAGAGTGCAATTGTATTCCTTCAAGTGAGGTTAAGGAAGCTCAAAAGGAATAGGAAACTTCCCCTGTACTAAATCAAATTCTTGTTTCTAACCTTCTGCTTATAACATATTTGACTATTCATGACTATTGTTATGTATTCTAAACTGATAAAATAAATTATGATACCATAAAAGTTATCTAGTTATAAGAAGTACCACCATGCTAAGTGGTTGTACATAAATACCTAATAAATATTGTTTGCTACTATATTGTTATCATCATCATCTCCAGAGTTGTAAGAGTACTAGTAACAGTATTAGCCCTAGTGAAAGTACTTTATAGCCAACCACCCCCCTTATTATACCACTAGATCAAATCATATTTAACCCCAGCAAAGTTAAGGATCTGCTTCTTTTCAAAGAAAGATTCTGCTTGAAAACATAATGTAACAATCATAAGTGGTATTACTTTAAAGTTTAAATACCTAAATAAAAAAGTACACATATAGTTAAAACTATCCCAAAACAGTCACAAAAATGACTACTTACATAGTACAAATTAATCTACATCAAATTAATCATAATCTCTTCAATAAAACATGTTAGTTGCCAAATGTTGCCAAATATAACAGTATTTCTTGGGAAATAGATTATGCAGTGATATAAGTAAATAAATACAGACATCTAACAAAAAAATGACCAAAGAAGACCTCATGTTCCTCTTTCAAACCTGGCGTAACAGAGAAAAAATTCCAATTAAAAAAAAAAGAAAAAAACCCTACACACATTATAAAAAAAGAGGTATGAAATTAAGAAAAAATATTTAATTAAAAAAACATTACTATATTTCTATCTGGCTATTTTAAAGTAAAACAGTACAGTTACTCTATGCTACAGATTATGGAGCTATTAAAAACAATGAGGTAGATCTATATGCACTGACATAAAAATATCTCCAAGACTCCAAGAGAAAAAAGATAGTCTCAGAAGAGATAGAGTATAACCACTAGAGTTTATGAAAAAGAATTATTTACTCATGCATGTATCAGTTAGCTTCAACCATATGAAATTCATTTTTGTAGGTCAAAAATAGTTGACTACCTGCAATTTCATATGATTCAACCTGTAGAAAAAAATGTCTAAATTACACACCAAAATAAAACTGGGGTTTTGGCATGGGTGAAGGGGGGTAGTTTGCAAGGAATTAAGATGGTAAAAAGGAATTTGACTCTTGAATAGTTTGAGTTTTTAACATCGAGCACCTATAACTTTATTTATTACAGTGAGGTATTAAACAATAAACATTAGCAGTAAAGAGCAGGTAAAACAAATACCTCCCAACTCCTGCTGCAGCCCTTGAGCCTGTCGAATAAGGAATTTGATAGGAATCTGATCCATTAAAGAAGACGAGTATGATTTGGGCTTTCTTTGCATAGCAGCTGTCAGTCAAAGATAAAAAGTGTAAGATAAATTAAATGTCAGAAACAACCTAAATGGGAACAAAAACATCGACTTACTTTTGATTCACTTAATCTGTGAATATAGCTTATAAAAGGTGAATAACTACCCAAAGAGTGGATACACAGAAGAGCAAGAATATACCTAAGGGCAAGATCTGGAAAGTGCCTGGAAATTGAAACTAGTGGGGAGAAAAACCATAAGGAGAGAAGCCATCTGCAGAAATGCCCTATACTTAAAAAAACAAAAACAAAAACAAAACACCCTGGTCGGGGTCTCCCAAATCTAACTAAGAAGACCAAACAGCAGTCATGACCACATGGCTTAGAGCTTCATGATTCCAATAGCTTTAATTTAATCACTTTATATATTATAGTGGTGACTGCCTCTTTTGAAAGGAAGTTGGGTGGTATAAATTTGACTTCCTTCTCTCATAACTTCTTCTACCTAAGGCCAGCTTAGTCCACGTTTTTTTTTTAAACAAGACCATCTTAATTTCGACTTTTTTATCTGCTGCTCTGATTTAGTACCTGCTCATCATTTGTTTAAATATTATGGCCCAAGGCCCCTGTTTCTAATTTCTCTTCTCTTTAATCCATCCTTCACATTGCTGTGATAATCCTATTTAAACACAGCTTTGGCCAAATCTCTCCGGTTCCATGCTTCATAGATTCCCAGATACCGCAGAGTAAAACCTTCAGTGAAATCCTAAATACCACAGAGTAATGGTCTTTACCAATCAATACCACCTTTTTCTGTGTCATCTCTTCTGTATTCTATGTGCCTGACATCTTCATCTCAATTCAAGGTACTTTGCTTATATACACCACAGGGCTGTATGAGAACATCAACCAGGGTGTTCATAGTTTGATAGGCATATCCAATATACTTACTCTTTTTCAAACATAAACCACAAAATGTAAAGTTCAACAAATTCTTTTGGTTGAAGACAAAAAGTATATAAGTGCAATGGTGAGAATATAGGTTGAGAATCTTTGCCAATTACCTCTCGATTAGATGTAATCCTCCTTGTGAATTAATAAATTAGCATCCTAGTTTTCCAAACCAATCGTTTATGAATTAAGTAAGAATGTGTTTCAGAAGACAAAACAACATGGTTCCAGTGATAGTCAAATCCTGATTCCAAAACCTACTTAGAAAAGTAGTCCTATCCAGAGTGATCAGGCAAGAAAAAGAAATAAAAGGCATCCAAATTGGAAAGGAAGTAAAACTGTCATTGTTTGCAGATGACATATTATATATAGAAAACCCCAAAACTCCATTAAAAAACTATTAGAACTAATAGACAAATTCCATTAAGTTGCAGGACATAAAATTAATATCTTTCCATTTATTTGTCCTCAATTTTTTTCATTGTTGCCTGGTAGTTTTCAATATATGGATCTTTCACATCCTTGGTTAAGTGTATTTCTAGATTTTTTCAAAAATAATAAAAACCCAGGAATAAATACAATGATACAATGCAATCCCTACCAAAATTCAAAAGGTATTTTTCACAGAAATAGAATAATCCAATAATTAGTGTAGAACCACAAAAGAACCCAAATAGCCAAAAAAATCTTGAGAAAGAACCAAGTTGGAGCCATCTCACTCTCTGATTTCAAACCACACAATAGAGCTATAGTAATCAAAACAGTATGATATTGGCATAAAAACAGACACCTAGGTTAATGGAAGAGGAGAGCCCAGAAATAAACCCGTGATGCATATATAGTCAAAGGAGCCAAGAACATAAAATAGGAGACATACAGTCTCTTCAAAAAATGTTGAGAAAAGTGTATAGCCACATGCAAAAGAATAAAAGTGGACCGTTACCTTATGCCATATACAAAAACTAACTTAAAATGGATTAAACACTTAAACGTAAGATCTGAAATCATCAAACTCCTAAAAGAAAACATTAATGGTAAGCTACTTGACATAGATCTTGGCAATGATTTTTTGAATCTGACACTAAAAGCAACAAAAGCAAAAATAGACAAGTGGGACTACATCAAACTAGAAACCTTCTACACAGCAAAGGACACCATCAACAAAATGAAAAGGTAACCCACTGAATGGGAGAAAATAGTTGCAAATCATAAATCTTATATGGGACTAATATCTAACTATATAAAGCACTCATACAACTCAAAAGCCAAAAAAAACTGTTAAAACACCAAACAATCTGATTTAAAAAAGGAGACATTTTTCTAAGGAAGACATACAAATGGCCAACAGGTACATGAAAAGATGTTGAACAATCATTAATCATCTGGGAAATGCAAATAAAAGCACAATGAGGTATCACCTCATAACTGTTAGAATGGCTATTAACAAAAAGACAAGAAATTACAAGTGTTAGCAAGGATGTGGAGAAAAGTGAACTCTTGTACGCTGTTGGTAGGGATGCAAATTGGTGCAACCACTATGGAAAATAGTATGGAGATTCTTCAAAAATTAAAGACAGAGCTACCATATGATCTAACAATTCAACTTCTGGGTATTTATCCAAAGAAAACAAAAACACTAACTTGAAAAGATATATGCATACCCATGTTTATTGCAGTATAGTTTTACAATAGCCAAAATATGGAAACAACCAAAGTGTCCATTAACAGATGAATGGATAAATAAAATGCAGTATACACATACAATGGAATATTATTCAGTCATAAAAAAAAGATGAAATCTTGCCATTTGTGACAACATGGATGGACCTCAAGGGCATTATGCTAAGCGAAATAAGTCAAAAACAAATACTATATGATCTCTTTAATGTGGAATCCTAACAAAAAAGCTCATAGATACAGAGAACAAGTTGGTGACTACTACAGGTGGTGGGTGTGGTTTGGAGAAATGGGTTAAGTTGGGAAAAAAAAGGTAAAAAGTAAAAAAATTCTATACTAAAAACCTATTTGAAACCACAGGTCTGTGGCCTATCTTGATAGATATAAAGTAATATTACTATTTGTATGAAATAACATTAAAGAGGAAAAATGGAATATAAGGTGGTATTTTTAAGACAAAGTAATAGATTGATTATACCTAGCTGAATGCTTTTATATACAGCAGTAAAGACAGACTATTTTGAATATCCAAAATGGCTTACCATAAAAAAAAAATAGGTTCCAGTGATACTCAAATCCTGGTCCCAACACTTAACTGCTTAGGGAATTTACTTAACTTCCCTGTACCTCAGTGTTCTCATCTGGAAAAAGAGAGATAGCTCTACCTATCTCACAGAATTGTTGTGAGGCCTTACATAATTTAACAAGTGTTTAAGTGCTTCATCTAGTGTCTGGTGCATGCACTCAGCTGTTAACTACTATTATTAAGATCTAGATTTCCCCAAGATCAGCTTAGGGTAAAGTATCAATATTTCAGCTTCTGGATCTGTGAAATTATAGATAAAATCCTGGTTACATTTTAATAATTCCATCAAAGAACTAGCAGGCCAGTGGGGGGAATCTAGTAACCACAATGTTGCTCATGTCATTGTATATTAATGATACCAAAAAAAAAAAAAAAAGAACTAGCAGGCCATAATGCCCTTCCTAAAGCAATTACTTCCTTTTACAACTCTGTGAAATACAGCATCAAAGATATTCTTAATCCTTCAGTAAAAGACTAAAAACTGTAGTTCCAAAAGGCCTATGAGAAGATCACCAGGCTTTATATATACAACATGAACAAACACATTTCTGAATTTCTTCCAATGCAAGGCTTTCAAAGATTCAATCTAACATTTAGCCTCATCCTCAACAAAACTGTAGAAATGTTTTGAATATTATTTACATTGACTCTAGTTTTTGCAACATTTTAATCTGTTAAAAAATCCTATGGAAAACTAACTCACTTATGAAATTAAATTTAATACCAAAGCCTGAAAGAAAGGGAGAAAGAAGGAAAAGAAAGGAAGAAAGGTTGAGTTCACTTGTTTAAACACAGACAGAAAAAATCATACTAAAAAAAAACAAGTAAATAAAATTTAGTATTATACTAACAGAATGACCACCATCAAGAGCAAGCAGGGCCCATTCCAGTAATATAAATTACACATGAATTATGTACAGCCCAAGCAAATTATCTCAATAAATGCCAAAAAAGTATTTACTTGATAAATTTTTTTAATGGTACTCCAAAACATTCAAAACTTGAATAAACCAAACACCTTTCCTATAACCAGTGATAAATTGTTAATGAAAGATTATACAGAACCTATATAAAATGTTAGTGAAAGGAAAAAAAACCACTTACCCATTCAAAAACATTTATTAAGTGTTTACTATGTACCAAATAATATTCTAGATACTAGATACAGTAGCAAAAAAACCCATAAACATCAGCCTCCCTAAAGCCTACATTTAATAATTAAGAAAAATTGATTTCCTTTTCCTGTGGGAAGACTTAATATTGTAAAGATGCAACTTCTCTGCAAATTAATCTATAAGCTTAACATAATTTGATCAAATCTCAATATAATTTTCTGCTGTGGAATTTGAAAAAATTATTATAAAGTTCATGTGAAAGATTAAATATGTGAGATAGACCTAAATATTGAATAAGAATAGTAATGGTAACAATCCTGAGAAGGAAGAATAAAGTGGGGGGAATTACGCTCCCAGACTTCAAGCTCTACTACAAAGCCACGGTAATCAAGACAATTTGGTACTGGCACAAGAACAGTCCATAGACCAATGGAACAGACTAGAGAGCATAGATATAAACCTAAGCATATATGGTTAATTAATATATGATAAAGGAGCCATGGACATACAATGGAGAAATGACAGCCTCTTCAGCAACTGGTGTTGGCAAACTGGACAGCTACATGCAAGAGAATGAAACTGGATTACTGTCTAACCCCACACACAAAAGTAAACTCAAAATGGATCAAAGACCTGAACGTAAGTCATGAAACCATAAAACTCTTAGAAGAAAATATAGCCAAAAATATCTTGGACATAAACATGATCAACGTTTCCTGAATGCATCTCCTCGGGCAAGGGAAACAAAATAAAAAATGAACAAATGGGACTACATCAAACTAAGAAGCTTCTGTACAGCAAAGAACACCATCAGCAGAACAAAAAAGCATCCTACAGTATGGGAGAATACATTTGTAAATGACATGTCCGACAAGGCATTAACATCCAAAATGTATAAAGAACTCACATGCCTCAATACCCAAAAAGCAAATAACCCCATTGAAAAAAATGGGTGGAGGATATGAACAGACACTTCTCCAAAGAAGGAATTCAGATGGCCACATGAAAAGATGCTCCATGTCGCTAATCATCAGAGAAATGTAAATTAAAACCACAGTGAGATATCACCTCACACCAATTAGGATGGCCAACATAGAAAAGACTAGGAACAATAAATGCTGACGAGGATGCACAGAAAGGGGAACCCTCCTACACTGCTGGTGGGAATGTAAACTAGGTTCAACCACTGAGGAAAGCAAATGGAGGTTCCTCAAAAAACTCAAAATAGAAACACCATTTGACCCAGGAAATTTACTCCTTGGAATTTACCCAAAGAAAACAAGTTTACAGATTCAAAGAGACATATGCACCCCTGTGTTTATTGCAGCACTATTTTCAATAGCCAAGATATGGAAGCAACCTAAGTGTCCATCAGTAGATGAAGGGATGAAGAAGATGTGTTACATATACACAATGGAGTACTATTCAGCCATAAGAAAGAAACAAATCCTACCATTTGAAAGATGGGTGGAGCTAGAGGGTATTATGCTCAGTGAAATAAGTCAGGCAGAGAAAGACAAATACCAAACGATTTCCCTCATTTGTGGAGTATAGCAACAAAGCAAAACTGAAGGAACAAAACAGCAGCAGAATCACAGACTCCAAGAAGGGACTAGTGGTTACCAAAGGGGAGGGGTGGGGGAAGGGGACTGTGGGGTATCATGATTGGTGCACATAGTGTGTGTGGGGTCACAGGGAAGACAGTATAGCTCAAAGAAGACAAATAGGGACTCTGTGGCATCTTATTACACTGATGGACAGTGACTGCAATGGGGTGTGGGGGGGACTCAATAATAAGGGTGAATGTAGTAACCACATTGTTTTTCTTGTGAAACCTTCATAAGAGTGTATATCAATGATACCTTAATAAAAAAAAAAGAACAGCAATGGTGAAAGATAGTCAAAATCTCCACATAAAAAAGAAAATCCAAAACAGATATAGATTTGTAATAATACTTCAATATACACAAAAGTAACCTTTCACATAGGAAGATGATAGGCAATTCACTATGTGATGTTGATAAATGACTAATTATAGAAAGGTAGAATTGGATGTGTACCTCATACTTTACACCAAAATTAAAGGCATACTTGAATTTTTTTAATGAAATTAACAACATCTTAAAAAGAAAATATATGTGATTAGGTATATGTTCATTAGTACCTTGTTTTCAAAGATTTTGCTCCCCATAAATTCTATAATTAACACCACAAAACAAATGATAACACTTAATATTATAAAAAACTGGCATTCACATCTTTTACAAATGTGGGAGTCTATAATGTTATAACCTATCTGGAAGGCAATAATGGAAATTCATTTTTTAAATCTTGTAATTTTCCAAAATCTTGACTTAGAAGTTCTATGTCTAGGAATCTCTAGTAAGGACAGAAATAACCATGCCCATATTCAGAGTTAGCTCTAAGGATATTCATTCCATTCCTCCACTGTTCATACTGGCAAAATCTGGAAGAAATTTAAATGTCCAACAATAGGAATTTGTTAAGTAATGGTACATATTTATAAAGAAATACTATACAGCTATTAATGATGTTTTAGAAAAAAATTGCTATACTAGGAAAAGGTTTGAAATGTATTATTAAGTAGAAAAGATAGATTAAAAATACATGATTCCAACTTGATGAAAGCTATCATGCACAAAGACTAAGGGTTTTCTAGCAAAGTTCAAATGGTGATTAGTGACAGAATTACAGGTAGTTTATACTTTGGTCTCCGTATTTTTCTAATTTCCTAAATTTTGTCTAGTAAACACAATTTTAATATGTGTTTTTATTTTAAAAACCAGTCCTTTTGCGTTAAGCAAACAATTAGAACATTTACACAACTATATGTAAATAAACTGTCACTCTACAATATGGTCATGTAATTATAAGAACTCTTTTTGTCAAAACTTGACTTTACAGCCCTAAAACTTCAAGCTACCAAGAAATATCATCTGCCAAAGTCTCAAAAGTTTCTCCATTTTGAGAGAAGCAGTTACCTTTCTTCTGAGAAGGAAATAATTAACTATCAAGTACAAAGAAAAATTTCAGGTTCAGGAATTCAGAACCAGTGAACATTACTGTTTCCCAAGTATCATGGGATATGTCTTGCTCTATAGGTGACCAAGAAGAAAATTTCAGATAACAGGAAGAAAGAAGAAGAAAAAAAAAAAAAAAAAGACAGGCTTTGTTTTTAAGTAAAGTTAAGCTTAAGGGAGAGAATGAAGCAAGTTAATACTTTTAGCTACTTAAGAATGGAGTGTGTTGAGTATCCCACTGGCTGCTTTAGGAAACAGATAAATAGTTCCTCATATGTTTGATATTAGTTACCGAATATTATTACTATGATTAACTACTCGATATTAGTTAACTTCAAAAGTATCTAAAAATAAACTGTTTCACCTAGTAATAAAGTCTTCAGATGTAGTAAGTAGGAAACATCTTTTTAAGTATAAAAACTGGATATATAATATAATGTAATGCTCAGATTTTAATTGGGTATTAATACAGAGGGATTTATTACATTACTATATTTCTTTCACATATTATCTTGGATCAATACAATATTTAATTAAAATTAATATATATATACATGTACTACAAATATTTTAAAAACCAAAAATATGTATATGTGAAAAATATCACACACAAACTCTATATATACACTCCCTATTAGATTACTGCCCACAGCATATTCTCTTATCTCTTTCACCTTAAAAAAAAAAGTCCTCTCCTAATCTCATTTTCCTCTCTAATTACCACATTCATTTCTCTCTTCCTCTTTACAACTTGTCAAACGTACTCTCTATTCATTGTCTCTAGTGTGTCTCCTCTAATTTTCTTTTGAATTCACTACCATCAGGCTTTCCTCCTACACTTTACTGGTGAAATTGTAAAGGTGAAAGGCCTCCAGCAAACTATGTACAGTGATGAGCTGAGCCTTAGTCCTAACCTTATTTGATTTTTCAACACCATTTGACATAAGTGTTCGCTCTCTCCTCTTTGAAACATTTTTCCCTTGGCATCCCTTATCTTCCTTGGCATCCCTTATCTTCCTGATTTTCCTCCCACACTCCTGCCCTTGATGACCTTCTTTAATGTCATTGTTTTAAATATTTATATGATGAAGAATCTCGATGGGTCAGTCTACATTCTACTGTGAATTCCAGGCCAGCATATACAACTATCTCCTTAACATCTCTGCATGAAAGTCTATCATCAGACATCTTAAAATTAGTATGTCCAGAACTAAATTCCTGAATCCCCACAAACCTGCTCCTCCCCCAGGCTCTTTTCTATTAGTTGACAGCTAGTGTACCATTCAGGCTCAGATCAAAAGCCTCAGCATCAACCATGGTTCCTATCATAAATCTCATGAATCTATCAGCAAAATTTCTCAACTCTTCAACCTCTTCAAAATATGTACATTGCTACCATCCAAATTATCGCCATCTTTTGCCTAGAATCTTATAAAAACCTAGAAACTTTCCTCTAGTCTCCCAGTACCTTTTCCAAGACTCAATACAGGTTGAGTTGTATTAAATCCTTTACTTTCCAACTGAGGTCCATCAGATTATTGCATGAATAGCCGATTCACAGGAACACTGAGTTGACCTGAGCATGTGAATCTTTCAAGATTCCTCCAGTCTTAAAAGTTCTGGGTGAATTGTTAATTCTGCATGGTATATACACATGAGTTGGCTATACTATTCTCTGTACTTTTCTGTATTAAAAAAAATTTTGCTAGGAATTAATTGAAATGAAAACTAAGGATGTACCTTGGTCTCCTGCTACAGTATTAATGGTCTGAGTTCTCCCTCATAACAATTCTTTGTAACTTATTCACCTACTATCTATTTCTTAAAACACAAGTGTCATATTCCTTAACAGAATTCATTATATGTGAATAAAAGTCAGAGATTACCATCTAATGCTTACTATTAGCCCACCTTGTCTCTAATATGACAAAGACTATAATTATAGTTACAGGACATCATCTGTATTACCCTAACATTTGTAGGCAGGAAAGAAAGTGGCTAGAAATTCACAGTATACTTAAAACACAATACTTCATATAAAGAAAAGAAACTGATCGGCCAAACAGGAAAAGTTATGTTTAATTTGTAGTTTTCAAAAGTAAAATCACTCAGCTGTGGCAAAATAACTACCCTTACAAGGATTTTCCCTGTATTATATACTCAATGCCTACAGTTTTTAATGACACTCTTTCATTTCAAATATGGAACTATGTACATTTAGCAAGCCTAATTCGGCACAGCTGACTGTTCTTTCTTAAATATAGGAAAACACAGTACTTTATACTATTATCTTCTATGCTAACTCTGACCTACTGATATTATATAAAGTAGCTAAGTTTAAAAGTCCAGTTCAGTGATAATTTTAATGGCAAAAGGTAACCATTCTCTTGTCTTTTTTTTCTATTGTTTTGATAAGATTGTTATTCTTCACATTTATGGAAGGAAGACAGAGCTGAAATCAAGCAAAAAAAACTTCAGTTACAATTCCTTCAGGCTTCTCTCTTAATTCA